AGCCGTGGCTCCGAGAGCAATGCGACCTTGCCTCCAGGACCTGTCCCCGTGTAAACAAGCAGAACGCGCAGGGCGAAACAGCATAAAATGAAGCTCTTTATTATTTGTGCCTACTATACCCATTCCCACCGGCTCCGTGGGGCTCATTCTTTCCACCTTGGAAATCTCATAAGTCTCCAGACTTTTCTGGTTATTTTTAGGTGATGGAAAATGTTGTCTGCCACTTAACACTTTTCCCTCAAGTCTCGCTGCAGCAGCTTAAACGTTTGGTGCCGTGGGATCATCCGAGACCCCTTGATGCTCAATCTTCGTCCTTCCCCAGTTCACGCGGGCTGCGTGCTGGCCGTTCGCCCGGGGAAGGGGGTAGCCAGCTTCTCTGCCTTCTCTCTGCTCCAGGCTTCAGTCTTCTCCTTTTCGGGCCTGATCAGCCTGGTCTCTGCCCCCCGCCCTGTCCCCCAGGCGGGGAGGGGAGAGAAGAGGGACGGAGTGAGGGCACGGGAGAAGTCTTCTTTGATTCGCACTGTTGGGGATGGAGTCTGGCATTTTTCTGGGCCTGGCAGGTGCTTAAAGCTGCTGCTCTGTCTCGTGGGGTCCTTGCTGGGTCCGTCCCAGACGTGTTCTGAATCCCGGGGTCTCCGTCAGCACCCCGTGCATGTGCCAACGGCGCTGTCTTCCGGCTGGTGCTGCGTGGCTTCCTCCCCGGCCAGCAGCAGGACGGTGAGCACTGTCGTTCCCTCTGTGACACGGGGCGGGGAGGCCTCACCTGTCCTCACCTCCGCTCTGTAAGTCGCTCTGTTCTCGAAGGACTCGCTTGTGCTCGCCTCGCCGGCCAGGAAGGAGGGCAAGGCGAGGTGGGCTCGACGCTGTCTCGTGGCCGCGGCCTCTGGACGTAGACTGACTCGTGAAGATTTTGGGTAAAGAAGCTCGAGGGAGGAGTGAGTGACATTGCGCTTGCCGGTCCTACTTTACCACCGCCCAGCGGTGACAAACAGAAGAAGGTGCTGGAGAGGGCGAGCTCGTGAAATCGTGAGCCCCCGGGGGGCGGCGAGGGCTCTTCCGTGTGCTGGGAAGGTGGGGGGGGGGTAGGTTCCGTCAAGGAGCGCTGACGTGTGGCATGGCAACGGCCCCTCGTGGGAAGGACAGTTACGGTTCGGTCTCGAAAGACGGAGAATCGGGAAAGCATGTTGTCGAGATACACATTGTAGCTGCGTCATTAAGGAGCCGCGGGCTCAAGTCCGTCTTGGCTCACTATGAGCTGTGTGACTTCGCCCCGCGTGTAAACTCGCGAGGTTCCTGTGCGTACCTCCTCTCCTCCTGGCTCATAAGATGCTTAATGCGTGCTGGTTCTTTACCCGACTTCCCTTTTCCAGGCCAAAGCTCTGCCCGGGAGGTTCGGAATCCTTTTCTCGCTCTAAACTGTCGCAGAAGCGAGGAGGTGGGTCGTGAAGACCCCTCGGCAGGGGCCTCTCTGACTGCTGTGAGCTGGCGTCTCGCTGATGATGATGATGAGCGACAGTGAGCACCTTTTCATGTACCCGATGGCCATTCGTATTGACTTCTTTTGAAAAAATGTCCGTTCTGGTCCTTTGCTCGTTTTTTAATTGGGGTTTTACTTTTTTATTATTTTATGCGTTTTTTTATATTACGTTTGCTGTTGAGTCGCATGAGTTCCTTATGGATACCGAGCCCTTCCCGGGGTGTCTGCAGCAGTGGAGTGGGCTGCTGGGCCCTCCTGTTCCCCTTCTCTGCATGGGGAGTCGGGGCCAAGGGGAGTCCTCCGGGTGCTGTGCTGTGCCAGTCTCAAAGATGGGGTGACGCAGGTAGAACTCTTGCTGTAACTTTCTGTGTGGCCGGCCTCGGGCTTTGCCCCCCACCAGGTGGTCGCAGCTTCTTACTTTCCTCTGGAGCTCTCCCGGAGCGACCTGGCTCCGCGGGTAGTGGTTACGTCGTCGCCTTTGTCGGGGAAGGGGACGAGGGCTCGGGCCCCCCGGGCCTCTGCCCTGCTGACGTCCTATGTAGAAAGCTTCGCTCCAGAGAATTCGCTTCCAGGTTGGCAGGAAGCTCTTTTTCTTTTAATTATTATTTTTTTTCCACTTATTCCTCTGGCGCTCATGCTCTGAGGCTCTCGTGCTTTGTGGGCACAGTTTCGATGATGCTCTAAGCCGTCACCTGTGTGTGTGCAACACTGGACATCTGCTCTCACGTCCTGCTCGGTCTCTGCTTCTCTGTTACTCCACGTGCCCCCACTGGTCCTCCGCTTTGCTTACTGTGCCAGGAAGGCCACCCCCACGTAGTCTTCGTAATAGCACGAGAGGCTGTCACCAGGGCAGGAACAGCTGGTTCTGACTGCAGGCGAAGTGTAGTCTTCGTAATAGCACGAGAGGCTGTCGCCAGGGCAGGAACAGCTGGTTCTGACTGCAGGCGAATCCACCGCCTTGCCTGGAAGATAGTAGAAACGGTCTGGACTCGGAGCAGAGGGTGCTCTGCACAGGGAGGCGGCCAGACCAGCCCTAGAGATAGCTTCAGGGGCTTGCGCGAGGGATGCTGTCTCCACATAAGAAAAAAGTTTTCAGTCTGTGGGAGAAACATGTGGATAAAAGAATCACGTTTCTGACAACCGCAGGCACCAAACTGTGGCTGTTGTTTTGAGTAGCACCCATCTTAGATGGACTAGGGAGTAGGGAGGAAAATTCACAAAGTTCTTTGGGTGGATCCTGAAGACAAGGCAAGTGCTTTCAGGCACATAGTAGGTGCACAATAAGTATCCGAATGATTTTTCTGATTGGAGGGCAGAAATATGGCTGATGAGTAACAGACCGAGTGCCTTTCTGATCTCTTCCTGCGGTGATTTAGAAGGAAGCACAGGAGTGTGGCTTTAAAGAGAGAGTTAGAATTGTTTTCATTCAGGCTGCCTTTAGGATAAACGTTAGCTCACTGACATCAGCAAAGACCCTTTTTCCAAACGCGGTCACATTCGCAGGTTCCCAGTGGACGTCCCTTGCGAGGGGCTGCCATTCAAACGCTGCACAGTGCCTTTGTTTATTGGTTCATTTCCCCAGGAGCTCTTTCGAGCACTTACATACCGAGGAGGAACCGTGGGGAGCGTAAAGTCAAACTGGACAGAGATCCTGCCCCCAGGGGCTTGCAGCCTACTAAGGGAGGCAATGCACACCCTTCTGTAGCTTGATAGGAAAGGCTGAGTGTCCCTCGAAGCACAGAGACGTGACGGGAACTTGGAGAGACGAGACACACGGAGCAGAGGGAGATGACACCCCATGGCGGGCCTGTCAGCTGAACTGGATCTTGAGGGACAGAAAGACATTGAACACGAGGAAATGGGCCATTCTAGGCAGAAAAGCTAGCATCGGGGAGACCCAGCAGGGGGAAACGATGGTGGGCGTGTTCTGGCAGAGCCAAGCAGTTCGGGCGGACTGGGGCACCGGAGGGCGAAAGGCAGGCATGGGAGGTGAAGGTGGAGGGGTGGTCGGGGCCCCGGGCGGGCCGTCCTCAATGGGTTTTAGCCAGTGACGGTCACATAGGGTTTTCAACATGGGTGTGATGGGATAACACTTTGATCGGCGAAAGCAGTATTTTTATATTTCATAAAGAATAAGGATTATTTTAAGCTAACGACATTTAAGATTCAACAGATGCACAAAGAGGCTGCCTCGGAATGTTTCTTGTCTGACTAAAAGCAAAACCTCTGAGAAATGAGCCGCCATGATTTCCTCCTTTGGGGCAGGTCTGAGCCTGAGGAAGCCACGTCCTGCAAATCTTGTCTGGGGGAGCTTTACGGCTCTGGGAAAGACCGCCTGTACCTGTACGGACAAACGTTGTGACAAACTTTCTTATCTCCTCTTTGTACTCCTGAAACCCCACTTGTCTTTCCTAAAGAAACCTATTTGTTCTTCCCATAGGATCCTTTTCTCTTCCTTCTGTTCTTCATGCTAAGTTAGGTATTTCAGCCCCGAGCTCTAACCACTCCTTGCCAAGTGCTCCCCCGTGAATGTGCGTTGCCTATATGAATGAAAGCATGCTTCTCTCGCTAATCTGTCTTTCGTCAGTTTAATTTGCAGGCCCCCAGGCACTTAAGCGTGTATATGAAAAGTTATTCCTACCCTAAAGTTTATACGTCCTGTATATAACGTAGAATGGAGAGGGAGACTTCAGATGGGGAGATTGATCCAGACATATTAGCAGGAAAGAGTAGAGACGAGGATGTATTTTGGAGAGACTGCAGAAGCAGAATCATGATGATTTTGTTTAAAAAAAAAAAAAATGAGAGAGGGGATAGTCAACCAGTCCCCGGTGACTCAGGTTCCAAGCCTGGGTGACTGGCCTGTGACGGTGCCAGTAACAGAACTAGAAAGCACACGAGACATCAAGATCATAAGAAGGTGGTTAATGGAGCCTGTGGCAGAGAGGTTAGACTTGCGGATGGGAGATGAGCCACACCGAGGTGGCCTCGAAGACAGGTGGAGGGAGACCACGAAGAGAAAATAAAGGTCGGGGGGAGGGGGCCTTGGAAGCGATTTGGAGGGGAAGGAGGAAGGAGGGGCCAGCCAGCGGGGTGGTCAGAGGTGGGGGGAGTGGAAGGGGAAGGTGCTGTGCGGAGCATCTGGGGGCCCGAGATCAAGTTGAAGATCTTTCCCGGGGTAAAGAGCTGCAGAAAGCGGGGAAGACGGGGCCGGCAAGGAGGCAGCCCGTTAGCGGGGCGGCGGAGGAGAGAGGCCGGAGGGCGGAGCGGGGTTGGGGCGTTGAGAGGTAGGGGCGCACGCACACACCACTCCTTCAAGAACTCTAGCGGCTAAGGAAGGGGGAACAGAATACCGAGGACTCAGGGTTAACTGAGTTTCTCACCCGTTTTGGGAGTTTTAATGATTCCCCCAAATTTGGAACATCGACTGAACGCCAGCTACTTTTTGACGATAACCATGTCAGAACCAAGTCGTTGGGGGACGAGCAGGGAATTAAACTGTGAAAAGGCATCTTTCTTTTATTCCACATTCACATATCCACCGCTTCATCGTTAAGTCACAGCAACTGATCAAAATACACACACGGCACAGATACTCCAACCTAGCACGGACGGCTAGAATTCTCACTAGATGAGGTGTAGGTAGCATGCATGGCTCTTTATCTTGAGTGACGCCTACAGAGACTAATGAGCCATCGAATCATCAGCGATGGTGTATCGAGGGGCTGGTTTTCTTTTCTCTTAGAGGAATTACGCACTTTATTTCTGTTCTCGTTATCACGTGGGGGGATGGCAGTGAGTGACCGCCACCGGTCCTGGAATCGACTGGAAACGGGTGGATGGGAAGGCTTTTTCCGGCAGGAGAGCCTCGATTTTGTCTTTTTGGACTCTAAATTCACTGGCTATGTGGACAACTAACCAGAGTCGGGAGACTCTCCCACTTGCCACTTCCCTCCGTCCCGTGCATCTCCGGCCGGTCGGAATGAACGGTTTTGTACATCCCCAGTTACAAGCTACGTTTATTGTGACTCATTCCCATGAAAACCGATTCGGGGCTTTCCCTGCCCCGTTCCAGGCGTGCACAGGATAAACAGGGTTAGTGGTCGTTCGTCCACGGCATCCGCCGCTGCTCCCGCCACGTGCTGCTCCAGTCTCGAGATGTTTGTCCTCACCGTGCTCCTTGAGTCCTCAGGTATCCCACGGCTCGGCCGTCGGTGCCCAGCTGCAGAGCCATCACTCAGAGCAGAGCCCGGCGTTCAGGGCCTTCACAGTGCGGGGGACCATCTGCCAGGTAAATAACTGTGACGAGTGATGACCCCACTTCGAGAGCGGCCGTGGAGGTGACGGCGGAGAAGCCAAAGGCGCTGCCGTGGGCGACGCCGAGCTGGCGTCTGCCGCGGCCTCAGCCTTCCGCGTCGAGTGTCTCCGTCCTTTTCCAAGCTGCCGCCGCCGCCCGGGAGTCCCTCCGTCCCGGCTCCCAGAGAGACGGCAGGCCCCCGCGTGCGTGCGTGCGGAGAGGCGGCTCAGGACAGCAGCCTCTCCACCCCGGGGTTGACGAAGGAGAAGCTCTTGAACAAGTTCTGGTCCATGCTGTTGATGAGCCTGCGGTCGGTGGAGGACAGCCGCGGCCGCTCGCTCAGGAACTCCTTGTCGAAGTTGCTGCAGTCACAGGGCGATTTCTGGGCCAGAGTTTGGGGCGGGGGAGGGGAAGAAAGAGGGAAGAGGATCAGCCACCGGACCGTCTTTACGTCTGCGGTTACCCTGACTGTACTCCGGGCGGCACGCGAAACCGAGCGCTCACGGAGGGTGGCGGGCGGCTCTTAGCGAACCTCTGGGTCATCGGTTTATCGGTTTATTCACGAGAAGGCACCCCGTCGTGTGCATTCAAACAGGACCCCAAGCGTCCCGCTAACAGATCACGCGACGCGGGACTGGCACCTTCGGAAAGGCGGCGAGCCCTGGCCTGACCTCGGCCCTTCCAGCCTCCAGGGACAGGGGACAGTGCTGGGGGCAGAGGGGCGGGGTTCTGGGGATGGCCCGTTCCTGCCTTTACATCAGCGCCCCTCGCTGCCCCCGGGCCCCCTGCCCCCGTCCCGTGTACTGTTAAAACCTTGGCGCGCCTGCCGCAGACGGCACAGCCGGGGACCAGCTCGCCTCGTCCATTCGGTGCCCGCGACAGAAAAGGAGAGAGCGTGAAAACAGACGCGCATCCCGAACGCCGTTCAGCGTGGCGTCCAGCTCAGCTCCCCAGCCGGATTCATGGGATCGTAGTGGAGAGTCGGGCCCTTCCCGCCCTCCCGGGGACGAGGCGGGGGTGGCCGGTGCGCGGGGCCCCGGCGGCTTCTTACCACTTTAGGCCTGAACGGAGGGTCGATCTCCTTTCTCTCCAGCTCTTCCCAGTTGATCTCGCGGAACAGGGGGTGCTGGCGGATGTCCCCCCTCACTCCCAGCCTGTTCTCGGGCTCCCTCACGAAGAGCTGAGAAGGAGCAGAGAGGGGACAGTGACTTCTCCGGGGACGGGCCAGTTAGCCTCAGAGGGAGTCGCGTTTCTTAGCGCCTGAGCCGCGAGTCACGTGACTCTGACTCCATGATGACAAAGGCCCGGTGCGTTTCTAGCCCTGTTTTCCCATGTCGCCCAGCAGAGTGTCCACGCGGGTCAGGTCGGTGGCCGCCCTGCCCCGGACACGCCGCCTGGCCGTTCCCGGCCCTGGGCTCCGGCCCCCTCGCTCTTGGCCCTCATGGTGCTGGCTTTCAGGTGGTCCGGACCTGGCTCAGAACCGGCTTTGCCCTGTGTTTTCAACGGGACTGTCTGAGGTGCATCCCCACCTGGCACGTGAGAGAAGTGTCCCCCTCTCAGAGCGGTGCTGAGGGCCCCATGGAACAACACCACAGACACACACGTGCCCCAACGCCCGGTCGTGAAACCCAACAGCACGAGTGACTGGTTTGTTTGCCGTGTGGCCAACTGCTCATTCATTGAGTCTGGTTTCTTGCAAAGCTGCCTTCTGGGGCTTCTGGCCTTGCCACAGGGAAGGGTCACTTGGGGTCCATGGTGAGCCACCCCTGACCCTGCCCCGCCAGCCCGCTGGGCAGGGGTGACCGCGTTCGGGTCGGCTCTAGTCGTCTCCGGCCTGTTCCGTGGAGATTTTCCTGCCCGCACTGTGGCCCCTCCTGTGATTTTCCCCACGAGGTCGAGCGAACCTTGGCCAGGACAGGACACAGCCCTGGACGCTCCCCCGACCTAAACCACGCACGTCAGGGCGCTAAGGGGTCGGAGGGTCCAAACCGGAAACCCGGGGAAGCCGCCGGTCCCCTGGATGTCTGGGACAGTCACCCCGCTTCCTCACGCCAGCTAGAGGTTTGTGTATGGGGCTCAGCGCAGACACCCCCCTTCCCCTCCGCGAAGCTTTCTTGGATCACCTCGACTCCTTCGAAAGTCGGGGTCGCTGTCGCGTGGCCGATGAGAGTCAGGCCTCGTGTCCGTGGCTTAGCGAGATCGTCCCGATTTTCAGGGCAGACTCCCCGCCCCCGCCAACCTCCTCCTTTGACTTGGCTCCCACTCCGCTCATCCCTTCATTTTCGACGCTCACGGCTCACGCAAACCTGTTTCCTGCCTCTGCAACTCCGCGGAGATTGTTTTTGGTGGCCGCTGGCTTTTCCCCTTAGAGTTTGTCTTGTTTTTCAGCTCTTTGTTTTGAAATCGTCGCAGGGTCCCAGTCGGCTTGAGCTACCGCAACAGAACGCCACAGGCCGGTGGCTTAAACAACAGACATTGACTTCCCACAGTTCTGGGGGCCGGAAGCCCAAGACCAAGGTGCCGGCGTGGCCCGGTTCTGGCGAGGGCCTTCGGGCCGCCTTCCCGCCGTGGGATGACACGGCCTTGTCCTGCGTGTGTGCGTGGGCCGAGAGACCTTGCTCCCTCCGTCTGCGACGGGGCTGACCCTGTTACGGGGGCCTCGGCCTCACTGCTGCGTCTATACCCGATCGCCTCCCAGAGGCCGCCTGCCAGAGGCTGTTGGCATCACCTTGGGGGGTATGGCTTCAACCTGTGAGTTTTTTTGGGGGGGTCGCGGCATGTTAAAGCTGCACAGAGGGGTGCTATGTGCCTCTCGCCGGTTCCCCTCATGCTTCCGTCTTACAGAATCACAGCGTGACCTCGAACCCAGGAGGCCGGCGTTGGCCCAACGTGCGTGTCTTGTTCTGGGTCGTTCTACCACGCGGGGATCCGGGGAGCACGACGAGCGAGATGCAGAGCTGTCCCGTCGCCGCGGAGGCCTCCCCGGGGCCGTCCCTTCACGGTCAGTCCCCTGCCTCCACTCCCTCACCGCCCCCGCCCCGATGCTCAACTCCCTGCACCGTTGTCCTTTCAGGAACGTGGCACGCGTTGACCCCCAGCGTGCGAGCTTCTGCGATGGGCTTTTCTGGGTCAGCACGAGGCCCTGGAGGCCGAGCCAGGTGGTCCTGGATAGCGACAATAGCGCGTTGCTTTCTGTTGCCGAGCGCTATTCCTGCACGTGGCTTCCATCTTTTCTCCTCCGGCTGGAAGTCACCGTCCCCCGCTACCCAGTCTCTCTCGCCTTCGAGACGGTCGCCCGGCTCCTGCTCAGCTCGGCTCCGCTGGCGCCAGCCGCCCGTGGCCGTCTCCCCCTGCCGAGGACGTCCCAGGCGCCAGGGGAGCCGGGTGTGGGAACAGGCCGGAGCGGCACAGCTCTACGCACCGCCGGCCGCCGGCAGGTTGCAGAGGTGGCCACGGGGCCTGCGGACAGCCCCCCGGCTCTTCCCTCCCTTCCCTTCTCTGGGGCGCTTTGTTGGCCCGGGCCTCCAGCGCGTTCCCTCACGCTGTGTCTGCTCCAAACCCGTGCGCCGAAGCCCTGGCCCCACTTGGAGTCGGGACGTCGGTGGGCGAGACAGGGCCGTAAGCGTGGGCCCTGCTCCGCCAGGATTGGCGTCCTCGCGAGGCGACAGTGGACAGCTCTCTACACGCCCGGACACCAGCCCCGCTGGCCCTCGGCCTCGGCCTCGCCGCCTCCAGAGCTTTCTGTAGTCCCTGCTGCCCGGTCTGTGCGATTTGGTCACATGGCCAGAGCCGGCCCAGAACACACCTTCGGTTAAGTCCTTTGAAAGCCAGGTATCTGGCACGCGGCAGCCGCAGCCACGCCGGAGCTCAGCGTTATGCGGACGGCATGACCCGGCTCCCCGTTTTCCCTGTTATCTGTCTTTTAATTGGTTAATTTCGAAATCAGCTTTCATCTTATGTGTGTTTCCTTCTGTCATTTAAAGCCATCTGAACTGGTCGTTTGGGGAGCTTTCTAAGTTTATTGCTTAAGTCTGGGCCACAGACAGTGAAAGCTGAGTTGAGCGGGCTCAGAGTTTGAAACCCCAGCAGCCTTGGGCGGGGGGTCCTAGGGGGCTTCGGCAGCGCTTCGGGCGGGCGCGTCGCCCGTCGGGGAGAGCCTCAGAACAGCCCCCCCGTTCCACACCCCCGAGGCGCCCTCGGCTCCGTGAGCGAGGAAGGCGTGTCGCCTTCAGTCCTGACCCGGAGCTCCTCGTGGGGAGAGGCAGGCTGGCGAAAGCCACCGACAGCTTCTAACGTCCAAAGCTCTTACCCCGTCGTCCTTTTTAATGTAGGGAGAGCAAGGCTAAAAAGTGTTTCCCCCAATGGTTTTTTTAGCCAGCGGACATGAGACACCAGAAATCCAAACACCGATTTGTTTAAAAACCCGAGTGTGTGGTCTGCTTCCTTTAGATTCGCGAGGCTCCTGACCTCACGGGACGATCTCTGAGCCCGACGGTTGCTGGGACGGCCCGGTCAATGCCGGTGGTCGTTATCGTTACGTGTAATTAGCACGTGTGTCTCCAGGGCTTATTTGCAGCTTTTATAACTCGTCACACTCATACACCGTAGATGGTATTTCACATCCTCGAGAAAGGGGACCTGGGACACAGCCCGGAGCCCGGGTCCCTCGGATGGATGGCTTCCGGGTGTCCTCGTCCGGGCGTCGGTCCACCTGGGAGCTCCTGCTTCGGGGCTCGTGGTTCCCAGCGCCCAGCCCACGTCTGGCGCGCTCTGCCGTGACTCTCCGTTGGTCCTGGCTGTCCCCTCCGGGCCTGACTCCTGCTCCGGTGGTGAATTCTGGAGACTGCTACCCGCTCAGGGTTTCAGGGTGGAACATGTGCCAGTACTTCCAGGGGACACAGGCGGGGGATGTGGCGGGGCCGCCGGCCTCAGAGACTGCCCAGCAGGCGGCGGGTGGGGCTGGCCCCGGGAACGCGCTCAACGGCCAGTGTCCCGAGGGCTCTGGCTGGAAATGGCCCCAGTGATAAGGGTTTCGACAGCCCTCCTGGGGGCCTTGGCCGCCAGCCACGTGCCCTCCGTGCCCTCCCTGGTGTGACCAGGTGTGCTCTGAAACAGATCCTTGGGACTCGTTTAATTTAGTTTTAATTTCTCGATGCACATGGTATTTTATGATGCAGAAGTGACGAGCAGTGTCTTTTACCTCAGAGTGAGCAGAAAAGTCGTGCATCCTGTCCAAATTTTCCACCGGGGGCAGGAGAATAGATTTAATAGGGACCATGGGGAAACCAAGACAGTTCCTGTCCCGTGGACTAGTTACCTCTCAGTGTGAGGGCCCCCAGGAGCCACGGCGCTGGTGCCCAGCGTTCCTGTGTGAACGGCGCACGGGGGCTTGTGTGAGACTCATGCTGCTGTCCACGTCCGTCCCGTTGGCGCCCCGGGTAAGACAGGTTGCGAGCATCCCATCCTAATTAGGCTCGACACAATGTCGCTCACTCCCCCTTGTGTGAGTCGCAGACTGGAAGGCTGGTCAGAGGACCTCGCAGGGGTCCGGCGAAGTCTCCCGGCCTCATTTCTTACCTTCACCAGAAGATCTTTGGCCTCCTTCTCGAGCCACCGTGGGTAGAAGGGATTGTCCATGCGGATGGAGTGGAACAGCTCCTCCTCGTCTTGCCCATGGAAAGGCGACTGGCCGACCAGCATCTCGTAGAGGAGAACGCCGAAGGACCACCAGTCCACGGAGTGGTTGTACTTCTGGCCCAGCAGGATCTGTGAGCGCACGGGGCAGAGACGCAGTTAACGGAGCGAGGCTGGTATCGGGGCGCAAACCCCTGCGTGGGCCCCGGGGGCCGTGCGGTGAGAGCGTGTGCGGTTCTAACAGAGACCGCACCGAAAACGGGATCTTTGGGGAAGCTAACGATCGGCCGGCAAGGGGTGGGCAACGCCAAAACTGAGCAGACAGCTTCGGGTTTCAACTTCGACTTTTTCTCTGGCCTCAGGTGTAACCACTGAGCTGTGATGTGGGGAGGGGGTGGTGGGTGCAGATCTGAGGGGGCTGGTGCACCCCCGGGCTCTCCGGGGTCCCAAAGTGTTGTCTAAACCGGAGCCATGTGTTCTACTTCTAAAGTCACTGCAGTCGGTCAAGCACCCGGAGAGGGCGTCTGACCGAGTCCGTCCCTTAAAGCTGCTGCTGGTGGTTGTACACGAAGGAGTCACACCCAGGCAGCGGAAAGTGGCCTTTCAGCAACTTCCTTGTTTAATGTTGGAAGACAGAAGGGAGGGTGCATGTCACTCTGCTTGACGCTTGTCACCCCGTCAAACCATGCCGCAACCTTCTCGGAAACGGCCCATCTGAAGGGGTCCACCAGCGGGTGGATGGATTGACGAAGCAGCCTATACACATAGCAGGTGTTATTCAGCCTTAAAAAAGAAAGAAATCCTGACATGTGATGCAGCACGGGTGAACCTCGAGGACACTGTGCCGAGTGACATAAGCCAGACACAACAAGAGTATGCCTTAGGATTCCGCTTAGATGAGGTACCTCGAGCCGTCGCCTTCGCAGGCACAAGGCGGAACGCTGGTCCCCAGGGGCCAGGGGAGACAGGGGTTCTCGTTTAGTGGGTATGGTTTCAGCTGTTCGAGAGGAAGCAGCCCTGGAGATCAGTTGCACAGCAATGGGACTATGCTTAGCACAACTGAATTGTGCTCTTAAAAGTGGGTAAGATGGTGTATTTTATGGTCTGTATACTTCACCACAATTAAAATCAGTGCGCAGTAGGTGCATAATGACAATTTGCTGAGTGAGGAAGAGGTGAGCCTTGTCTTTCACGCCAGCTGCCGCGGGGTGGGCGGGGGCCCGCG